TTGCTATTCACAAACGCGCAATTTTGAATCTGTGCCAGAAAGCCCAAAATGCCCCTATGATTGCATGCACGTGGGGGGCTTATTTTTTGCCGACAAGCACTTTGTAGAATGCTCTTGAGGTACCCTTTCATATGCAAAAGACAGAACTCAAAAAGCTCAAGTATTGCTCGAGATATCAAGAAAGACGTCTTCAGATATGTCAACTGCGCGCCCGCGCGCCGATTTAGGTAAGTTTGACCACCAGACCGACTATTTAATCGGGCAAACTCAAAATGCTGACGTGGCACTTTTTGCCAACGGCCGACCGAATTCAAATTCGGCCGAGGGCGCACGGATCGAACTTGTAAAAAATGGCATTATAGATACAGAAAAGTGGACCATTTCTTCGTCATTTTCGGCGGTTCTTGTCGCAATGTGTAGGGGGCGCTGGCCTCTTGAGCGTAACGTCGAAACCGCCGTGAGAAACCATTCAAAATGAGCCATTTTATGTCGAGCAGAAAACTTTCTCGTACCAGAGCAAAACCGAGGCGCCCATGTCCATATTTCAAGTTTCGGAGTTCCGAATTTCGGAACTGACGGAGTGAGGTTCCCACAGGTATTTATAGTCGTCGTCCCGCACAAAAGAGCGCCTGTTCTCACCGGTCACTACAGTGGCTCTGTTCATGGGAAGTGCTCCTTCCTCGCTACGGCCCTGAAACTCCAGCTCATTTGCAGCAGCACACTCCGCAGGTTTTCCACGTCTGCCGCGCTTCCATGGCGCCCTCCTTCCGCCTCCTGTCAATCCTCCTGCTCCTTTCGTCTGCCCTGGCAGCTCACGCCTATGATCTAGGCTACGAGCCACAGGACCTGTCCTCTGAAGAGGCCCTCCGCTCCCTCTTCACGAGATGGACGGAGTCTCACCGCAAGTTCTACAACGCGCTGGGGGAGGACGAGGAGCGGTTTGGCATCTTCAAGGACAACCTCCTGTACATCCACGAGTACAACGAGCAGCACGGTTCCCACAAGCTCGGCCTGAACGAGTATGCCGACCTGACGCACGAGGAGTTTAAGGAGAACAGGCTGGGGTACAGCTATGACCGTGTTGCCAACCTGCTGAGGATGCCTCGCGGGGAGTTTGTCCATGGAGCCGTGACGGAGGTCCCAGAGGAGGTCAATTGGGTGGAGAAAGGCGCTGTCACTGCTGTGAAGAACCAAGCTCGCTGTGGTAAGTTTCCAAAGTTTGTGTAGGGTTAGCTCCTCATTTATGTGAGGGCTTGGTAAGTCGCCAAAGTCGTTGTAGGGTTGCCTCTTCTGAGTCTTCTTCATGTATGTGAAGGATTGAGGATGGATCACAGAGGAAGCTTTTTTCTATTTATATGCAGATTGTTGCTGTGGATTCGCAAGTCGATTTCGATTTCTAGTATATTCTAAGCATAAGTTTTGTCGGGTTGCAGATGGTTTGTGAGATGTTCTTTTTGTGAGGGCGCTCTTTTGTCTATGTAGTGTGTACTGTATAATCTCTTTCTTTATTCTGTTGATGAAGAGTGTCTTCTCTGATTTGTTGATGAAGGGAGCACTGAAGCGCTAGCTATTGTTGATCTTCTCTAAAACCTTTTCTTTAAGATGTCTCTTTACATCGCTGCAAAGTTTCTTGCTTCATATGTGCTACCTTTTCGGCTATCAACAAGACATTCTGTCAACCTTCGCTGATGTCATCATTGCTACTCGTTTTCCAGGTAGCTGCTGGGCCTTCTCCACTACTGGTGCTGTAGAGGGTGTCAATCAGCTGGTGACTGGCTCGCTCACCTCACTCTCTGAGCAAGAGCTTGTGGATTGCGACAAGGTGCACGACATGGGTTGCCAGGGTGGCCTCATGGACTTTGCCTTCCAATTTATCATCGACAATGGCGGACTGGACACAGAGGAGGACTATCCTTACAAGGGGTACAACGAGCGCTGCGATGTTGACAAGGTAATCGCTGAATGGTGAACATTTGGCATTTCATTTTGTAGGTTATGAAGATCTTTAAAGTTCTGGTCAAGAAAAGAGCACACTGAGGTGACTCGCTCAGCAACTGTGGACACAGGCTACCGAGAGTGCCTCTTTCTTGGTGCAATTTGAAAAGCGCTCCGCAACGCCAGATCACTGTGTATTCTGCTTAATGCATTGAAATTGTCAGTTTCGTCCTTGAGCGAGGTTCTGCTGGTGTTGCTTGGTTACCATTACCTGCGCCTGCTTCATTGAACTTTCATATTCAGACGCGGTTTTCAATACCTTTCGCCCTGGCTGCAGGAGAACATGCGTGTTGTGACCATCGACGACTTTGAGGACGTCCCTGCCAACTCTGAGAGCTCGCTAAAGCAGGCGGTGTCACAGCAGCCTGTCAGTGTTGCAATTGAGGCGGACAAGCGGCCGTTCCAGTTCTACCGAGGGGTAAGCTGCTCTTCACTTTACTCTTATTACTTTTGCTGGTGTGAAAGAGACCTGAGACTTGTTGTTTGGATGCTTTTCTTCGATTCTGTGGTCTGTTGCTTTGGCAGCTTAAGCCCTGGATGTGTCAGGGTTAGGACCTCTGGAACAAGGGACCGCAGGCCTTTGTCTCAAACTAGCTTTGCCTATGCTGCTTTCTTGATTGCATACGAAAGGAAAGTGGGTGACTGGTTGCTCAGAGCAAGGTTAACTAGCAGTTGACATGCTTTGTTAGAGCATGATGCAAGTCGAGGGCTTGCAGCTGGTTATCTTTGGCAGCGTCTCTTTAAAAGTTTGCCAGTACATGTAGCTCATCATTAGTTGGTCTTCACATGCTGCAACTCTGTTGCAACTCTCTCCTGTGTTTTTTTCTCACACTTCTACCACTTCTACAACAATCAGAATGGTACTGTTGGTTGGACCGCTTGTTAGAGTAACGTAAGGGGCATTTGTACAAGCTTGAGAATATTGAAGGTTATTCCATATACTGTGATTGCGCCACAGTGCATCAAAGTTGACTTTAGCTACTGGTTGAAGAACTAATCACACCCCTTGCTAATTAAACCCACTCCCTTCTCAGGGCGTTTTCGACGGCGAGTGCGGCACTGCGCTGAACCACGGCGTCCTGGCGGTCGGCTACGGCGTTGAAGACGGCACTCCCTACTGGCTGGTCAAGAACTCATGGGGTCCCGGATGGGGGGCGGACGGCTACATCAAGATCAAGCGCGACACCGCCCCCGAGGGCCTGTGCGGAATCGCCAAGGTCGCGTCGTACCCGCTCAAGAAGGGCCCCAACCCCCCTCCCGGCCCGCCCAAGCCGCACCCCCCCGCCCCGGAGCCCGAGCAGTGCGACGCGACGCACACGTGCAACGAGGGGACCACCTGCTGCTGCTCGATCCCGCTCGGCAAGTTCTGCCTGGCGTGGGGGTGCTGCCCGATGACGGGCGCGACGTGCTGCGAGGACCACAGGCACTGCTGCCCCAAGGAGTACCCGGTGTGCCACCTGGAGATTGGGCTGTGCGCCAAGGTGAGGAACAACGAAGGTTTGTTTGGGGTTAGTTGGCTGCTTGTGAACCCCTAAGTCACAGGCTGTTTTGTTGGGTCAGGGGGCAAAAGTTTGTGCAAAAGTCTGTGAAGGGTTTTGTTAAGAAGGTTTTCAAGCGGGCTGAGAATGAATGGGGGTGCGAGGACAAACTACTCTGTGTGAGGCGTTCTGTAAGTTGGTAAACGGAGCTAATTTTGATACCTCTTTGGTCGCTTCTCTATCCGGAACTTGAAACGGTATGTTGTTGTCTGCAGGGCGAGAACGTTCTTGAGGGGTCAGTTCCGATGGTCAAGAAGGAGCCTGCGCATTTCCACTTCAACTGGGCAGCGCTGAGCGAGTCAATTGGCGTCGAGCCTGTCAAGGAGCAGCCAGAGGAGGCAGTGCAGATCATGTAAATGAGGAGTCGAAGCTTGTGTTCTAGTCTGCCAAGGATGTGCTTATTGTAGATTGCGAGGGGGCGTTCTTATTTGACTAGATAGCCTGTGATCGAACAAGGCATCTATAGCGGGGAAGGTAGCCTACAGTCTTTTCAATACTTCATTGGTAGTTTGGGACAAGTGCATAGTTGAGGCTGTTGCCAGGGTGTTGGTAGCTCTTGGGGAGTGGGAGTAGTCACATTGGAGGGTGCGGTTTGAGATATGTTAGGCGTTAGGATCAGCAATTTATGCTAGGTCTTGCTCGCTGATTCTTCTGTAAATACCAATAGTGGTACAATACGTGACAATCAGACAATGTGTAATAAACGAACTCTCAACAGAGATGTCATACGAGAACATGCGCCACATTGGTTAGGATTCTGCATTGTATCTGAAGAAGCATCGGAGCATTTAGAGTACCTAGGTTGAAGGATTGTTCGAATGTAGTTGTACTTGTTCAAATTGCCACATTGGGTAACAAGTTGGTTTTCATTTCTTCATTGTTTGATTCAATAATCCGTGCCAATTGCTGAGTGCATAAGTAGATTATTCTGAAGTGAGATCGACCCTCAGCTAGATGGTGACCTCTGCATGCCTCCCAACTGACTTCTGCTCACAGACGGTCAGTTGAATCGTGAGCGAGGAAAAAATAAGCATCTGTGCACGACCTAAGACTTGGGTCGCGTGCTTAGGTAGGTCCTAATAGGTCGCGTACTTAGGCTAAGTACGTGACGCAGCCAATACAATGACCATTTATATTGCGGACCAAATTACCTTACTAAGTTGTAGTACAGAGCTCGATCCGCTGCTGGATAACACAGAATCCACGCGCGCACTGACATCATGTATAGGAGCAATTGTATCTGGACTGCCCGCGCCATTGAATAAGGCCTGCGCATGTAGGGATACACCCGAACGTGTGGTGCTAATCTGTCATGCAAATTGCAGTCGCGTGGCTAAGTTGCATAGCTCCTGAATCACTCAGTGCCGCCGAAACTAAGGCTATTGTCTTAGGTTCGAGGACCTATAAAGCGAAAAGATATAAGTAGCAGTACGGATCTTGCAACTTGGTAAGTAAGCGTTATTGTACAGTATCTCTCTGAACGCATCCAAACCCATCAGCAGACAGTCTTTACTTCCTGACAAAATTGAGTCCTTTGTCAATGCTTCCTTTGAGCTCTCCAATAGCTTTACTCAATGCAGACCTGCAACACCGCAAGGCTGAAGGACATCAGATCCATCAACAAAGAACAATGCAGGATCTTATTCTGCAATTCATGCAAAGTACCATGCTCCTGATTTCTTCCTGCTTCCGTTTCTCAACGCTGAGGAGGACTTGTCGAAATCCCCCTCTGATTTTGTCGCAGAGACAATCTGCCAAACACAATGGAAGAGAATTTCCTCATATGGCAGGCCGGACTGGAATCTCACCGTTCGAACTCGTTCAGAGGGCCCAGGGGGTGGATTTCTTCGACACCGGACCGACCCAGTCGTACTTTCGTAGCAAAGAAGGGCAGCTCAGTGACCTGGAAGGCGTATCAACCGTTAGGTTTGCAACTTGTATATGTCCCTTCGTCATCAGTTAACATGGGTGACGGGTTGCTGGGACTTGGCAGCAAAGGAACTTATTGGAAAGAGGCAATCCGGAAAGGCAGACAGTCAAATGCAACAGCGATTTACCAGAGCATGCCGGTCCTTTTGGCCTTTCCGTATGAACTCCTGCACATTTTGTGCTTCGATTGTTATTCTGGGCTCGTCAGAACCGTCAGTGCCCCCGATGCCAGTACTTTCTTACACCAGTTCTCCAGAGAAGATCTGCCGTCAACAGAGATGAGGTCCATTCACAAACTACGTAACCAACGCAGAAGCATACCCACTCCTCGGCCGTATGTTTGCGCCAGTCAGGATGTGCCGCTAGCTGACCAAATGAATCCGGTCCAAACGGACTCGTCTGAATGCATTCCGGCTTAGGCGACTTACATCGGACGAAACGTAAGCGCACTCGACGATGCCTGTCTCTCCGGAGAGGCCACGTAGGCACTGCTCAGCGAACTTGGCGGCGGCATATGCCATCGACAGCGTGGCCGAGCCGGTGCCCGCCTTCGCCTGCACGTGCAGCATTTACTATTGAAGCGTGGCCGCCCGAGACTTGCATTTGGACAATTCTGATGCCCACGAGAGCAACTTGCACCACGAGAATAGCGAGAGCAAAGAACGTTTACACTTTAACGGCATATTGGCAATGGACGATGAGCGTGGATCCGTTCAACTTAACTTTTTGGAACATGCCCAACGCTCCTAAGTCTCAGAGCAAGTGGGAGTCGCTAGGATAGTCACTTCAAGTCGCCCGGCTAATTTAAGGATCCGTTTGCAGCGAAGCAACAGATTCCGCAAGCACAAGCTCTCTTCCAAAGTGCCCCCAAGATTGCTGTGCGTTCCGCTTGACGATCTCGTCTCTTGTCTGGAAAGCCGTCGACTAACGCTCAAAGTCACGCCGCGCCACAACTTGGTCAAGCAAGAACTTGAGAAGCGAGCGGGACTAATTACGACCATTGTGTGCGTCCTTCACGCAGCTTGATGAGGTTTCAAGAGACTTTCTCTGAGCCAGTGGAGCGGCTTAGATCGAGTTCAATCAGATTCTCGAGAACTTTAAAATGGAACGAAGAACCGACGGTGGACTTGCACGAGCGGCAGGAACTCAAAACGAAAACTTTGGTAGGGAGGTGAAGGGGTTGATGGAAACAAAGCGGCAAAAGGAGTGGAGTGACGCGCTTCGCGGCAGCTTACCTGAACGACCTCCGTCCCAGCGTCTTGGATCCGAACCGTCAGCTTCTCCGTCTCTTCCTTGGAGAAGGAAAAGCTCGGCGTCACCTGCACGAAAGCAGCATAAAACGCTTCAGATATCTTCACAGATCTCGATCCTAAACCCGATTTTCAAACGCCCGGAGGTCCAGCAATCTGCTTGCAAGCACATCGGTCTCCAACGATGCCGTCGTTTCGGGTGTAGGTTTGCCAAGGGAAGGGAAAGCCACCTGTCCACAATCAAAGCTCGAAATTGAGTTCACGCGACCAGGCTGACGACGAAAGTCGCTTCGCATACCTCTTGAAGCGTCTGCCCAACGTGGCTTACGGGTAATCTTAGATAACGGACGTCGACTACAGTTCGCTGCGGATCCATACCCATGGTGTTCTTGTGAGCGACCGCAAAGGAGTAGAGCAAACTGTCGCTGGAACGGGGTCGTACCCAACGCCATCTTTAGTTAGACAAGAGAGACGGAATTACCTGAGAGAGGAGGGGGAGGATAGTGACGCCGGCATGGCCTCCGACGACGGGGACGTCCACGATCTCGGGGTTGACGCCGATGACCTCAGCCTGCAGAACAGATTGAGAACTGTGACGACTGTGCAAGGGGGACTGTCGGTGACCAGGGCATGGCTGCGATGCACAGGATAGAACTCGCATGCCGCGCGCAGCCCCACTTCGAAGCCGCACTTTAAAATTACAAAGATGTCGGCTGAATGCTTTCTGTTTCCATTGCATTTCTAATCTTGTAATGGCACTGAGACGAAGGTATTTGCGTGGTTGACAAGGACTCGCTGGATATCGATTATTGAAACATTGATGCCCCGGGTTCTGTCGCACGGCCAGAAGGCTACTTGGCAAGACCTGTGACTGGGGGACCTGGTGATGAACCGGTTGCTCGCAAGGTTCGACCTAGAGTACAAGCTTTCATGCCGAAGTAAGATGGAGATTAAAAGAGGGCGTCAGATTTCAAGGTACACTCGTGCATCTGAGTCCTGAGGGAAAATTTCATCGGACGGCTCAGATTCCATTTCGAAAAGTGCCTTCGGCGACCCAAATGGCTGTGTTGCGGGGCAAATTGGTCGCTTAGAGGTAGGACCGGTCCTCCGACGCCCTCTTGAAGCTGCCCTTATGGAGCTGGGGATACAGAAAGGAATCTTATCGAATGGCGAAACCTATTAGCGACCTTCAGTATCTCAGAAGGATTGCAAAAGACAATTCGCGGGAGTCAAGATTGACGACGGTTCTGCATCAATCAAATACTGTTGTCGAGTCCAAAGGAACTGCACCCACAAGTATCACCGAGAATGTGTCTTTTACTGAATCAAGACTTCGCAAAGAGGAAGTACCCGCCTTACCACGAAGGTGTTTGCGCGCACGACATCGAGCGCCGTCACCCCGAGCACCTTTCGCGGGTCCCACGTGCCCGCCCGCTTGAACACCTCCGCCGCGATGGGCACCGTCGAGTTCACCGGGTTGCTGATGATGTTCACAACCGCGCGGGGGCAGTGCTTCGCAATGCCCTCGCACAGCTTCTGCACGATCCCTGCAAGCGAATCGCAGACAAGGCTGAGGAAGTATGAAGAAATTGCAGCGCTGACGCCACTCCATGAACACTCTAGATGTCCTTTTTGTGTAGAACACTATTGCAGTTTTCGAAAACAAGGTATCAGAACCTATCCTGCCAAAGTCTGCCGCCCCCAGCCTAAAGCTTGCGGTCCTAATTGATAAAGCGGACGGCAGCGCTGCGATTCGAGCATTCCCGAAGGTCTGCGATCTACCTACCTGCGTTGATGTTGAACAGGTCGTCGCGTGTCATGCCGGGCTTGCGCGGCACGCCCGCCGGGATGACTACCAGGTCGACGCCGTCGAGGGCGGCCGGCAGCTGGTCGTTGCCGACGAAGCCGCGCACCTGGAATGAGCAATCACCATAAGAGACCGAACATAGGTACTATCAGGGGGGAAATTAAGCCAGAAAGGTTGACGTTACCTGTGTGATTAAGCCAGAAAGATTGGTTTAATATCTCGCTGTACCAACCCAAAACAATTGACTGTCACTTGGAGATTGCATAGCTGGGATTCTTCCACTTGGTGAACGGGCCGATGCAGGGGAGAAACGAGTAAGCAGGCAGGCAAAGCTGCGCAATTGATGAGGGGGTTTTGTGAGGCTTGGAAGGTTGAGTGGGGCCTGGAAGGAAATAGAGAGAGTCGTCGACATTGTGAGAAGGTTCGAGGCCTCAGTTAAACCGAAAACATTGGGCATGAACAGGTTGAAAGCTTTCGACGGATTTCTGGGGTGGCGTGTTGCACAGCATCTTAGGGACCAAGAATGGTTTGTCAAATTAAGGATCAGGAATATAAATCCAAAGGTTCAGAATGAAAGCCTTTGAAGCAGGACACATGTATTGATCACTCAGCACAGCCAATTCAGCAAGTCAGACTTTGGTCTTGAATTAAGTGGCCACTTGACAGAGATCTGACCTGGAGATGCACTAGTAGGCAATCAACAGAAACAACCACAGTCTCAAAAGGGGGGCGAAAACCAGTATAAGAACTGCAGTCCCCCATGTACGTATCCAACAAGGCCCAATTGTAAGTTACGTTAATTCTTTAGACCTTACCAAGCAGGCAGTGTTACAAATGAATACTCCATTTCCATGCAGTACGTGTCTTCAATGGAGCACCTTCATTTGCCACTGGAGACTGCATTGCTTGTTTGGCCATAGAGGACTTCAAAAGCAATAGCAAACTTGGTGCTCACCACTGCAGAACTGTTGATGTGGCTCAGGTCAGCTGTAACCCCTGGAGTGTTGACGACATCAAAGAGGTGCAGAGTTGAGACCAAGGGACTCGTCTTCAGGAGGAGCGACCTGAGGTGGCAGATGAAGGACTATTCTATCACTCATGATCGCTCAATACCACATCTTTCAGAAGACTCATAGTTTAAGAGAGATGTTTTTGACAAGCTGCGCCATATAGAGAACAGTAGAAGCTGAGCTGTCAAGGGACCAACATCTCTGCTGACTTCTGTAGAACAAAGTAACTTTCCGCTGACCTCTCCACAACAAACCTCAGCAGGGTTGTCCATAAGCCGATGTCAATACTTACAAAGGCTGTCCAATGCCGCCAGCTGCTCCAAGAACAGCCACCTTGAAGCCACTAGAGGCTCCGCGTGCTCTTGTGCGCTCCATCAGCAGGGTTCCCTGGTGAAACAAGTTGACAGTCCGCATCAGGCGTTTGCACTCCGTCTTTTTCACTGAGATTTGTTCCAAGTACAGCTGCTTGTGCCGCTTGTAGGATGACGACTTTTGCCAGAAATTGTAATAGTACAAGACTACAAAACTTTGTGCGTTTCACATTGCTGAGTTTGAAATTTCATTCCTCTTTCGCCTTCAGAAAGGACTAGAAACAAGAAGGTCATTATTAGGTACAAGTTCAGAAGTGGCTGCTGTATGATTGGAGTACAGTCATGCGAGTTGACCGGCCTTTGTGGCACTCTGTAAGTATCTCAAGTGCCCGTCCAACATAGGTTTATGATTGTCTGAAATCACTGCATTCTCTGAATAATCGAAGTGCTAAGCTGAAGGCTTAATCCAATTTCAAAAAGTAACGAGGCGCTCACTTTATACACCTTGAATCGAAGCTGGTGGCATTATGTTGATACCACTGCATACTTTCAAATTGTGCAAAGTATAATTGAGGCTTTGAGGGAACTCAAACATGCAAGGAGACAGCCAAACATGGACGGCAGTGCTTCTGATCTCACCTCCTGTCCTGCATGCCCAGCAGGATTCAGATGAGCTGCAAGCCTCCGAATCCGTTCAGCGCTTGCGGCCATTGAAGCGCAGTAAAGAAAAAGAAAATTGCTGAGAACTTTCAACCTCTTGCTGAATTATCTTCTACAAGCGAGGAGACAACGCGACGTTGATGCAGAACGTCACTTGCTGCCCTGCATTGAACAATAATGTATGCGCAACAACTTCAAGTTGCATACGGTATAGGTAGTACCGAGCTGCAAGCAGGAATGCGGGCGCAGAACCATAGCCATAGGCATACGTGACCAGCCTTAGCCTCGGGGTTTCGCCCAGTCAGCAAAACTGGTGACAAGATTGGGCAAGAGACCTCACATAAAACATTTCAGCCATTCTACTAGATGAGAGTTCAAGCAAGAGGAAAACAATGAAAATGGCCTCCCTAACCGGGAGGCATTTTTGGCGGTAGTCGGGTCGGGGAATGAAATACGCGGATGATTTTGGAACCGAGGACTGGCTACGTATAATGGTAGTGTATTATGTACGATAGATGGATGGTCGGTACGATTCCCCGGTCATCTGCTGATGCATTGGGTTTGTTTCGGGTTCGCTTGACCGGACCAATGTTGAACACTCGGCAGAAGGGCACCAGTCAACGGTTTAGATTGACCGGAAGATGAATCGACGGCCTCCAGTCTTTGAAGTCAAAGGCAAGTTATGCCACGTTGGCAGGCGGTAAGGGTTTAGCCAATGGGATCACGAGAAAAATAGCTTTACCGCGAAATTGACATGCCAATACAGGGAGGCAATTACTAGTAAGTTAGAACTTCAAAAGGTACTGCAGCCGTAGGATGATATAAATTTTGCTGTTTCAGACGTCCGATATCTCACTGATGACGAACTAGCCTGGACGCAGATTTACGAAGTATCTGGTTCAGAGCTGCAGTTAATCAATGGTTAATGTCCAGGACACCACCTTTCATCGACGGTTTTCAAGCTTCCACTAATGGTGTGCATAAGGTATGGATCCTTTTATGGCCATAGTTCCATCTTGCGGTTCAGAATGGCTCTTGTTATCCACGTGTCCAAGGTTCGTAACAGATCAATTGCCATTCTGGGTTTTGATTGGTTCAGCTCGGCGGCTTACAGTGGACATGACATCACCCTCGTCAAATAACAGCGCCCGGCCTATCATAAGCTCTAGATTTATGGCATGCTCTGCCACAGTCTACAGAGCCTAGAGGAGCCTAGCTCTGATCTGAGTCTCGGGCAATTCTGCACAGCCCAGGACAACAACTTGATTGCAAGCCTTGTTGCGTCGCCTTTTTGCGCCTCTTCAAAGTTTTCTGGTTCCAGGAGATCCAGCTGGTTTGGAGCTTTCTGCAAAGCAAGAAGCAAGTGGAGCTTGCAAATAGATTCTGTTGGGAAACCAGCGCTTGTTTGTGAAAGTCTAGAGGTCGTGAGAGTGATTCGAGATTTGTGTAGCTGTTCTTCTTTCAGGAGGCATCCCCATTAATACCTATTTGCGCAAGTAACTTAGTTTACAATTTCAAGTGAGCTGCCCCTTCCGTCCTATTTTGCTTTTTGACAAAGCAAACTCATTGCACACAGAGGGTGAGTAGCAACCAAAGAGCTCCGTTCCACCCTGAGAGGATGGCCATGATTGCAGCAGTTGGTTCTGCTGCCGGCAAGTCCATCGCCAGCTTCAGCCGACCAGCCAGGGGTCACCAGCAAAAGGGCCGCCCTTGCTGCTGTTTCATAGACAAAAGCTTCTTGAAGCATGTAGAAAGTAAAGCTGCTCCTGCCAAGCACAACTTCAGAGGAAGGAAGGGCGAGGTTGCCATGGTTGCAGAGTTGACGCGGTAAGTATTGCCCCTTGTCGCGCTGCTACTTCTGTGAGGTTACCATGTCCACTGAATGGCTCATATTCAAAGTCCCGTTGAGATTTGCCCAGCTTGTTTCCATGTTTTTAGCATTTTTAGCAGACTGTCAGATTTGTATGACGTTGATTGTAGCAATCGCTGCTTTTGATGTTGACACACAATTTTGACGCTTCTAACTTTACAAATTCTACTCGCTGCTTCCCTTTGGAGGCCTATTGTAATCATATGTTCCTAGCTTGTCTTGATAATGGTCACCATATTTAAAAATGTTCTATGGACAAGAAGTGACAGAAATTCTTGTAGGCTTTGATTTGCGATGTAATTGGTGCTGGATTTCCTTGTCTTGAATGGTCGTTTAGATCTGGCTGCATCTAAGGGTCATTGTTTTGTGATTTTGACGTCGCTGTATTTTAAGCTGAGTGAAACCATTCTGGACGTTGTGGTTGAAGACATCTGCCTCAATTTCTGGAATCGGCAAAGGGACTCAGACTTGCGCTTGTAGGTGCTGCCTGTGTATCTTATAGGGTTTGTGTTAAAAATGGGGCAAAGGTTGGACTCTGGTCCCAAGTACCTTCTTGTGGTGCGCACATACCTGGTTTTTGGTTTTGTATTTTTATGTGAGCTCATGCAGGTCCTGATCAGCTGTACTGTGCATTTTATTGTGAGCTTATGCAGGAACGTAGTTTCAGAGGCATCGAAGAGTTTTATGTAGTGTCAGTTATTTCGAAGTTGCTGGAATTCGCGGACCCTCGGAGACCAATCAGATTCTAGGCGGCGAATAGGGAAATCGTATGATTGTGCAATCAAGAAAAAATGTGTCCGTATTGTCTGGTAGTCATCTTTCCACACTTTTTGTTTCCATAAATGTTTGGCAGAATGGTGAGGGGAACCAGTGGAAGTCATTCCTAGAACATCCTCATTGAGTCAGTCTCATCAAATTTCAGTGGTGTTTTCGGTATTGAGCTTATTATTGCAACATTTTGTTTGTGATGATGTTTTGCCAATACCTGCAATTATATTCTGGATTGCGAAACTCCATCTTCGCGCCAAATCTTGCAGGACCGACGTCCAGGCCCCACCACCGGCCGCCCGCCACGTCAGCAGAAAGATCTCTTCCGCCGCCAGCAAGGCGCACAGCCTGACAGCAGAGCGGTTGGAGATTGTGCAGTCCTTGGATCAGTGGGCGGAGGATGCGCTGCTGCCGCTGTTGAAGGACCCTAACACAAACTGGCAGCCTCAGGTGAGGACGTGCCGATGGTTCTGGTTTGGTATCAAGGTACACGAATCGGGCGGATTGCACAGCGAAGAAGTTGGGGACATGTTGAGTGGATTTGGGGAACCAGAAAAAAGGTGTGGGGGATTCCGCAGAGTATAGTCAACCTGGTCACCTTTGACCAACACCTTCCTTTGCTTGAACGAGAGCAGCCACTTTGCTCTGGCGCGATTGGCTGCATGCAGATTAAGAATCACATGTTCTAAGGAACTTTAGATGCTTTGAATGCTCAGTGTAAGGGGCACCTCCAGGTTTTTGCACATGGTTGTTCATGGTTGTTCCCGTTGATTCGATCATGTGGGAACCGTAAATTCTTAAGCTGCCCCAGTCTCCTAGCATCTTTCAATTTGTCCGGTTCCAAAAAGCACACTGCGGCGAGGTTCCAAAGCCGCTTCGTTTTCCATCTGCAAGCTGACAAAGAAATCTGTGTCTGCTCTGTGTCTGACGAAGATCAAATATCTGCTCTGTGTCTGACGAAGATCAAATATCCAGGAAATGATTGTGCCAGTCATATCTAAACCCACTCTCAGTCAGCGCTCATAAAAAGAGGACGTTTCAGACCGTTCTGGTTCTCTCGAGAGCCCTTTTCCTCCCTTCGTTTCATTTCCTCGCTGGCTTGTCACTGGCGCGCTCGAAGGGAGGTTTTTCCATAATTACTCTATTCAGTCCCCGCATAAGCTGTTGAGGACGTTTCTTTTCTGACACGTCATGTTTCTTCAGGTTACACCAATCTGCCTTGAGGACCTTCATCCCGTCTTCTCAGAGAGACTCTTCTAGACCGAATCGGAAAACATTGGCGTATCCGGGCTGTTAAAAAGCCCTACATCCTGTGATCCCCTCAACCAACCTCTGGTTCTCCTCTTCAAAATGGTCCTCCACCAGTGTCTCCTACAACAACTTTCTAATCTAATGTGCTTCTGCCAACCCGCCCGTCTTCGCCTGCTTTTCCTCCCTGTCTCTTCCCAACCAAGATTCCCTCGGCCGCGCAGGTTCTTTTGCAATTTTTGAGTATATCAACCGACCCCCCGCTCTTGGCCTCAATCATTCATCCCACCAACAACACTGTCCCTTGAATGGTTCTCCTTATTCTTGCTTGGTTTCGTTAAACCGACTGTCCTCGTCCACAGGACTACCTCCCCGTCTCGTCCGACGAAGACTTCCTCGACCGCATGTGCAAACTGCTCCAACATCCTCTGATTGTTCATAATCAATCCATGGTCAGGGCTTCCTTCCGCTGTTGGGTTTTGCAATAATCGTCGTAACCCACTCTGGTTCCCTTAACCCTCCAATTCCGCCCGCAGGACTACCTCCCCGTCTCGTCCGACGAAGACTTCATCGACCGCGTGCGCGAGCTCCGCGAGCGCTCCGCCGGGCTCTCTGACGACTACCTGGTTTGCCTGGTCGGGGATACGATCACCGAGGAAGCGCTCCCGACCTACCAGACCATGCTTAACACTTTGGACGGCACTCGGGATGAGACCGGTGCGTCCCCAACCCCCTGGGGCATTTGGACCCGCGCATGGACGGCTGAGGAGAACCGGCACGGGGATCTGCTGCATACGTATCTGTACCTGACGGGGAGAGTGGACATGAAGGCGGTGCAGAAAACGACGCAGTACCTCATCGGGTCCGGCATGGTAGGTTTCATTGTCCGGTTCTCAGACTTGTTCGCTTCGATTGAACCCTACACGTGTTTGCATCACGCTTCCCTTTTTGCCAATTCTGGAATATACAGTTCGAATTTTGGAAGTTCTGAGAATGTAAAGGATTGTGCTCCTGTGAGTGCTGTATCGATCTGGTGATGGAAGGAAGCTCCATCGGGCAAGAGGGGTACAATCTCGTTGAATGTAAGGGAACGGAAGGAAGCATCTGTACCAAAACGGTGGAGCTAAGGGTGCTGGAGCTCTTCTTCCTAGACAATATACTCCGCCGGGAACGAAGGGGTGCTTAGGCACATGACTACTGTAAACTGTTGATAGACGCTTCGTTTTACTGCGCCTTTCTCTGAACCCGGGACCTTTTATTCTCGTTTGCTACGCCCTAAACTGGCAACCAAAGTTTGTCGAATTGGTACGACAACCAGCTATGTTGTAAAATCCGCATTTGTGTTTTCTGGACTGCAATGCCTTGAATAAGCACTGGTTTCCCGCACGTACACGAAGTCTAGTGGGCTTCGTCTATGTGACCACAAGCCTTACTGTTCCCAGTGCGACTTTCTAACCCGTGGGAATACCAGTGGGTTTCAGTGCTTTATCCAGCTCCGTTCTCAGGAGCCAGAGCTTGAGAACAGGCAGTACCTGGGTTCCTTTTTCTTAGTCCTCCTCACGACAACCATATCCTTCCAAACGCTCGCTATTGCTTTTCTCAATGATCATTGTGAAGTAAACGATCTTCGTTCTCTTCTCCAGGACCCCAAGACCGAGAACAACCCGTACTTGGGCTTCCTCTACACGTCATTCCAGGAGCGCGCCACGTTCATTTCCCACGGCAACACCGCGCGGCACGCCAAGGCCCTCGGCGACGAGCAGCTCGGCAAGATCTGCGGGATCATTGCAGCGGATGAGAAGCGGCACGAGAAGGCCTACTGCAGGTGAGGACTGGTCCTGGCTAATCTGCGTCATCTGAGCAATCTTAGGGGAGGTGGAGGTTGTTTTGTGCTGCTAACCTCGCCGTAAGGCACTGCGGAGAGAAGGATGACGCACTAGCTCGTGAGGAGCTGGCTAGCTTTAGCATCTGCGGTGCCATTCTTTTCACGGAGCTTGTGTGAAAGGCCTCCAAATCTTCCACTGTCTTGTCTGTAAGCGGTGGTTCCCGCTGTCAAGATAGTCGTCCTGCAACCTGCTATGTTGCAGTTCCTATGGAATCCGATACCAATCACGGCAATTTGGCCTGCGCTTTTTGACGTCATCCAGAGCCGTCCAACATGGTGACCTAGGTGCGAAGAAGAGAAAATAGAAGCAGAACAACAACGGAGTTTCTGAGTTTACTGAAGGCCATCTGCTATTGGCCTCCGCCCCACGAAGCAAACATACTGCTGGAGGTTAAGTCGTGGGCTTGGAAGATTACGACGTTTATCTGACGTCATGCCTTGTCCCGTCTGCAGGATCGTGGAGAAGCTGTATGAGCTGGACCCCGACGGCGCCATGCTGGCGTTTGCGGACATGATGAAGAAGCAGATTGTGATGCCCGCGCACCTCATGTACGACGGCGAGAGCGACACGCTCTTTAAGGACTTCTCCGAGGTGAGGATTTGATTTCAGTCTACTTTTCCCATGTTTGCTTCGGTCTCCTTTCGACCGGACTTTTCGTCCAGGTTTGCACCGGTACAGCTGATATACGGTGGCCAGAATGACGCGCTCTTCAATGACTTTTCCGAGGTGAGGACCTAGAATTTAGAACCACCTCTTACTAGTTTTGTTATCGCTGCCTTAGCTTGTGTGTTTTGTCTGATGGCGTGAAAGTTCGGCGCCGTCGTACTTCAGAATAGGTGACGGCCAGAGGAGAGGCGCCCTTCTTCGCAATCGTAATTGTCGGGGAGTTTTGACGCTTCAGAAAATTGCTTCTAGATGTTGCGCTTGGACATTGCTGGGACTTTTTGAGATACACAGCCCGTCGAGGGACAGATAGGCCTAGGCGGTTCGCAAAGCAAGGAAGCAAGGATTGCGGATTGCGGCCGCCTGCGATTGGGGAAAGTAGTCTTCCGCGGGTGGACACATTTGGCCCTTAAACAAGGGCTGGCAGCAGCAGGAAACCAAAGTCAGAGCGTTTGAGATGTCCGCTTTTTAGAGCCGTTGTTCTTAAAAACGGCTGCGCTAATCGCAAGGTGGGCGCTCCGTCCTTGGTTTCCAGGCGCTCACAACATAGTGCTTTTGTTCCTGTAGGTGGCCCAAAGAACAGGGGTCTACACGGCTGCCGACTACGCTGACATCATGCAACACCTGGTGAACCTATGGCGGGTGGAGCACCGCACCAACCTGAGCCCCGAGGCGCAGGCGGCGCAAGAATACGTGTGCAAGCTGCCCGAGCGGGTGCGTAAGTTGGGGGAGAGGGCGGCGGCCAAGGCGAAGAAGACGCCCCAGCAACATGCCAAGTTCAGTTGGATCTTCAACCGGGAGGTTGCGCTGTTGTAGGCTGAGCACAATCGTGCTTACCAGATTCTTTTGTACATTCCCTGCCCTCCGTGTAAGCGAGCATCGCCGTATCTACACTGCCTGATGCGCGCTTGAAATGGCCGCTCGAGTGAAGTTGTTGTGACTGTAAGACATTTCGTATTAGGTTGTCGCATTGAGGCTGAATCGCGTTAGCTAGGATTAGACGGAGTACTTCAAGATCGTAGTAGAGTTGCACAGATCTCAAAAGGCGATTGCCTCAGACGATGCGCTACTAGATTGCTTAGCGGTTTGTGTACATGTTTGAATCGTGCAACTATGCGATGCACGTTTTCCTTAATTGCCTCCTGCGCTAATTCCAGATTGTCCGACTCAATCATGCGGCCAAGTTGAGTATCAAAAGTCACATTGGCTTTGGTACGGTAAAAGTTGGGTGAATCCGTGACATGGGATGCCAGTCGATCAGGGAATGTCACATGCACGACTCGATCATCACTATAGGTTAGCACTTGCGGTAAATGCGAAATTCTTACATGGCATACCGGTGTGTCTTAAGCTAAAAAGACTCGTGCGCGCGATCGATCCATATACATCGGTCGCATATATCGAGCTAGCCGATCGAACAGTCAGCAGTCAGATAGCTTGCCATAGAGCTCGTGGGCTGGGTAGCTCGGTGTATACACATGCGGTCTGCATGCATGCCGCCATGCGGAATCTAATTCACGTGAGGATTGCAAATTTCTTCACGACCTATTTGGCTTTAGAAATTCAAGCTCGATCCCTGAGGATTGGGATGAAGCAAGAGCATGCTTGAGCATTGACTGTGGATCTGTTAGTGTTGGCCGCACATGACCAATTGAAATCGTTCTTTACAATTATCGGAACCACCAACGCGCTCTTTGCCAAAGCTGGCAGGGCTAACCAGTCTTTCAAAATTTCTCGCGGTTGCCAGATCCAATTACACTGCATGCCAAGGTCTCTTCTGTCAATATACTTGAAAACACGTTGCGTCTGCATTCTTCCTCGGCGAGGCACGCTCACAACTTCCACTCCTCATCGCTGTCGTCGTCCTGTGACCACGATTAAACGAATTTTCAATCTTGCATCTGGTTCTCTTGACTTCAAGAAAAGACACTTTGAGCATCAACAAGCATTTTGCAGAGCGTGGAAGAACTGGCCGATCAGCGCTTATACTGAAGAATTGACGCCCTCTTCAAGTTCACGCAAAGGCGAATTGAGAGCTCAAGCAGTTGATATTCGGCTGCGGAAGACGACGTAAAAGACGCACATGAGGTTAGAGTCTTACGTCGCTTGGTTCCGTAGGGATGTCTTCGCTGCTCCCTTCGCCCGCGTCCTCATCCTCCTCCTGAAAGTAATTGAAAATTGACATTTCGAGTGCGCTTGAATTTGTCTGCAAGAGGACGACTTACGGGCCCTCGGATCAGGTCATCCCGTCGACTTTCCTCCAGACAAGACCTAGTCGTCCTTGCGACTTTCCGGTGTGATGCATCGAACGAGCAACCTCCGCGCCTTTCTCGTTTATCGTCGAATAGCATCCACACGATCCCCATAAAGTAGCAAAAAAATTACTTATACCCCTCTGTCTTAGAAGGTTCGTCACGCGCTGATTGACCCTGGAAAAACAGAAAACAGATGCACGAATTTGCTTACAAACACGAAAGCGGGGCTAGACCCTTACCTTTCGGCCTTTCTTTGCCTTCTTGCCCGCTGGCGCTTTGGCAGCCGAAGTGGCTTTTCGTTTCTGCGGAAAGATTAAGCACTGCTTCAGACTCTAGAAGCCGAGCTGTTCGCCAGACTTTTCAATCGAGCTTCTCTTCGAATCCCATCCGAGCTTTAGTGGCCTTCCGGGATGCCCAGAAGACTATTCCATGATTGTGCATGGGAATGCACGCCTTACGTGACTAGAACGACGAGGAGTCCCGACAGCTGTCTTCAAAATCTTCAGAGAGCGCAGATCAAAGACCTGGAACAGCCGGGCGTCTGATTTTGACACAAGCTCAGGTATAACCAGCACAGTGATCGTCAAGCGTCATGAGACCATACTTTGGATGCAGTCATGAGAGTCGATTGGCACAACTTACGGATCTCGGAGGAGCTTGTGTCTGCGCTTCCGTCTCCGGGGTTCCGTTCTCTCCTTCGTCGTCGCTGTCGAGGTTGATGGTGACGGGCCGCTTCTTGGGTGCTTTGCCTGCGAAATTCGAAATGGGTCTCCTTCAGACTGTCTTGCATGGAGCATACCGAATAGCGATGGCGTTTCCAGAGTAAAATTACTGGAAGCCGCTTCCCTTTTAAAAGTCAAACGTGTCGAAGTTTGTGATACGAAAACCACCGGGGGACGTCATGACCAAAAGCTCACTCTCCTCATAAGTGCTTTTCACCCGTATAGAAGGTCGATTGATTCTCAACAGTGCTTGCTACCGGTACGCCACAGCACAGCAATGCGGTTGATAGAACGAGCGCCGCTTGCAAAACTAAGCGTTAGGGTTTTTTTGTACGTATACCTGCACGTTTCCCAACTTGAAGACATTTGCTAAGCAAATGTGCTCACTTTTGTATCAGAACATGCCTTGTCAGAGCAGAGAGGCTTTTCTTTCAGCAATCAAAAGTAAGCAACTCACTTGCAGCAGCGCTCGCTGGCTTCTCTTTCGGTGGTCTTGACACTGCGGGCTTTGCAGAGGGCGGTCGAAGCGGCACATCGTCACTGTCGCTGTCAGCATCGTCGTCCAACTCGTCGTCCGTTCTGGGCTCAGCAAACCTGTGCGCAAAAGGAGACGCACTCGAACTGGTGAATCAATCTCATCAGCTCTGGGGCATCGTACTCACTTCGCCGGTTAATATCAATCAACCACCAATTAACCTCAATGACCACCACTTGATCAACTAACCACCATTAACCACCATGAACCACCGTTAGCCATCATCGATAACCACCAAATGATCAAGTATTCACCATTGATTAACCATCAAGTATCCTGAATCAACCACCATTCAAACTCAGTTGAGCTCGTACTCACTACACCAGTTAAGCACAAGACGGTATGCAACATCACATGTCTCGCCTGCTTCTAATGCCATTCCTTTGGCACGACTTTCGCACCCGCGGCAGTCTACCTTTGGGAGCGTGTCTAACGCAAGCCCAGCGAGTTTGCACATTCTAAGCTTGGGTGACTGTTGAGCACCGACACTCCGCGCACCGCAAAAGGACACGGAGCATCCTGCCATCACAGCGACCAGTACAAAAACTAGTGTCTCTCGACCAACTTCGACAAGGCCAGCTTCAATGTACTCTCTTCAGCTTCGTCAAGATGACACGCAACACACGCTAGAAGTGGAAAGCACAGTCTAGACTCGATTCACTATCCGGTACCATGCCAATCTGGCATTCTCAGACTTTGAATTCCGCAGACCTCAAGATAACTGCCGGAATCACAAACCTGAAGCTTCTGCCAGCAGTCCGCGAAGACTTCCGCCGTGCTGCAGCGCCTTTCTGATCATCTTGCGCTGTTCTGGCGATCTCTGCTTCAGAGTCAAGCGCGTCTGGTCCTGCAGTACCGCCTTCTTCTTCCTGGTCGTCAGGGTCAGGCTCAGCCGGCTTGCTGGCAGTGGCCTCAGGATGAGCCTTTGCCGTTGTGTCAGGTTGCCTGGCGGCTCCTCCAGAGAAGTCGACTCCTTCGTGAAGACTCCTCTTCACCGAAACAGGGAAAGGTGCGGTTAGACACTCGACTTCTACGGCCTACCCTTTCGCCCTTTTCAACACACCACTGGATTAGCTGGTGATGTCAATGGTCAGAGGGGAAACACCAAGGCTCTGACCGAGCTCACGCGGAACCAAGCTGTGAAGAGACTGACTGAATGGGTGGACGAACATCGAAGGGAAATGGGGATAGATAGTGAGGGTTCTCAGGAAGACTTCCATGATCAGCCGGTATGGCATGCAACTGGGATTCGAACCGATGGAAGAAAGAGTAGAAGTCAGATTCCTTCTGGATCATCAGTAGGAGAGGATTCGTCGGGGATGCAGGACATTATCCAAACTAACCTTGGTGAGCGACTCAGGCATGTCAAGGCGCTCCTCATTTGGATTCTCTTCCTTTGACCCAATCCACCAGTACTCAGAGAACACAACCTGCACATCGAATGCCGCCTGCTGGAACTGCCAGAGAACCACACCATTCAAGCCTTGACTGCGCTGGGATCTTTATGCTGTCATTGGCCTCTTCGATTCTTCAGAATCAGCTTCAAATCATAGGCTTCAGAGACCATCAAGAGGCTCACTTAAGCAAAGAATCTGCAGCTTTCGAGTCAAGTTGCCATGTTATTCCAAACCCACTTCATGTACTGTCTTGGGCTGATTGGTCAGGATGCCTGAGCGCGTAGGATCAATGCCTCCGATGGTGATTGTTGCGTACAGAAAACTCGCACCTTACACCGTAAACAATGGGAGGGTATTGCTCAACTCACCATGTTTTCGAAGCAGTCCTCGCAAGCAATGTTTCCCGCACCCTTGGAGAAGTGCAGTGTCAAGTACTTATTCTTGGGGTAGACAAGTGTGCCAAACAGTTTCAAGCGCCCCTGCCAACAACCGTTACTTTGTATCATATTGTTTTCTTCTAAGCTGAGACTTCAGTCTAGGTGTGAAATTGCTGCCATGAGCGGCACCTCAACCTTATTGACAAGACAACAACGACAGAAGAAGATTGGATAAGAATGTGTGGTATGATTTGGTTGTTAAGCTAACCACCACTAGGCTGCATTCCAAGAATCCTATGTCACTTCTGCACGCTGAAGGTTCTCAGAGCATGCAATACAGGCGGTGCTCTTTGACATAAACATTTGTAAATGTTTCTCACATACCTCAGGAAATGAGAAGTACATCACAGGGTTTTTGGTGTCAAGCTGTGCCAGTTCTCCAAGCTGTCCACCAGCAACGGGTGCAAGTAGCCCCGGAAAGGAGAACAGGTACTTGTTCTTCCTGTGGCCCCTCTTCACAATGTCCTTGCCATTGCATCTCAAAATTGCTGCAAACAAAGCATGAGATCTCCAGTAAGGAACTTGTCATAAATGAATAAAAGCGGCATCATTCCTAGCAATTGAGATTCTCGCTGAAGCTTGCCATCAGGCAGACAGCCTTCTCATGGAGACATAGTTTTGCGACGCAATTCGCCAACGTGCTTTGATGGAGTGGTGTAACTCAAGATAGTAGCTTGGCATTCCTGTTTGTCCTACCTTTGGAAGCAGAGAGGCTGTCTGCAGGACTTGCTTTTGCACGAGCCAGACTGCCTTTGCTGACGGCCCTGTCTCGAAGCCGCTTGCTTTCAACATCATCAGGCGCAGCTTGGCTCTGACCACCCTTGTCTTTGCTGCTCTTCTGACGGGCCTCCGCCATGATTGGCTACCGCCTCAGTTCAATATCAGCTGGGTTTGTGTACGAGATTCGCATATATTCCTAATGAATGCAGATTGCTTGCAAAGCTTTCTCCAAGGCCTATAATCACCCAAAATGTCCGACGGGCCTTGATTGGGGTGGCACACTTGATCTTTCAAGCCGCAAATAGAACCAGCCTGTCCTGGAGCCACAGCTATAAAGCAAAGCTGCAATGCAGCTCTAGCTGTAGCTTCTATAAACTTAAAGGATTGAGGAACCCAATTTGAATGTGGTGCGCAGGAGTCGGGACATGATCAGGAGTCAGCACATGATCAGCGTGTGCACACTGCACATTATGCAGCCTGGAAGCACAGCCGACGTGGCAATCACATGGCCTCGGCAGCCATCGAGCGACTGCCATGTTGCAACCTGAGCTCTTGGCACGCGCCCCGGGCCGAGGCCGGGGCCGCCATGCGCTATACTGCATGAGCTACAGAACGTCACTTGCCCATTAAGCCGAGCTGGCGTTAGTCGGATGGGACGATTCTGCAGCCGCTGAGCTCCATGCTCCCAGCTCCATGCTCTTTGTGACTGAAAAGGGGTGTAACGAGGAGTACCTACGTCGTTTTGTCAGCTGCATTGCCTACTATAATACATACGTGAGAAAGCAACTCTATATCATTCACAGTTGCCGACGTTCAAGATGTCAATCGCAACTCAGCACCACCTCGCTGATTTGGCAATATAACGAAGTGTCTACACACGATCGCGTTCGTGCAGATGACTATATCAAATAATGTTCGAACTACGGGCTGCAGATTCGGGGTTCAGGTGGACATCAGGAGCAACTCGCCTTGATGGCTCCTTGTAAACATGGGTTGACTCATAGTTCAACGACAACGCACCCTCAACTTGCGGTATCGTTGTGAGCAGATCACAATCATGAGGAAGTCGTTTGTTGCAAATGCATATCCGGATCGGAAGGGAGTGAATCTGTCAGGTCGAGCATTTGAACTGACCTGGTCTAATCTCTTCTCTGGTCCTCCTTTCAGAAGGCAAAGTTTTTCATTCTGTTCAAGAGGGAGACCCGGAGCGCAGTCAGGTACTAAGAATGATTAAAGGCGTCAGGTGCTACTGTACACGCATTGGTAACAAACCAGGCTTGAGCTTTCGTACGGCCCTCATCGGCTCTTCGGCTTCTCGATGACCGGTAAAACGAGATTTGTTACGCGCCTCTCCCGTCTCCGATCGCTAGTAGGCGCTTTCTGTGCATCTCCCGTCTCTTTCATTGTCAGATACTCTTTCCTGGACACGTGCCCATTATCGTGCTGCACAACTCCCCCCGACCGCACGTTCGCGCCCACTTTCAACGTCACCCCAGACGACAGTTTTATCGAATCGACAAGGACCCCGGTCCGCGCAAGCCCTGTCTGCGCCGCAGGAATGAAGTCAGGCGCCCCGGATTTCCCGCTAGCCTTCCCTGCATCCTCGACAGATTTTACGCTCTTTGTTGTGGGCACTTTTGTGAGCACGGGCGCGGGAGACGGTGCGACTGACGTCGTCTGACGGCTCAGGCTGCGGCTGCTGCTCCGCATGCGTGCCTGCTTTCCGTCCAAAGGGGCTGCCAAGAAAAGGAACGAAACCGGATCAGTGAGAAACGCAACCAATGGAGAAAGGACGCGAGGGCAACTTTTAGCAGCGCGTTTCCTCTGCAGGTGCGTCCTCCGGCTTGCTAATCGAGGGTCGAACTCTAGATCGAAGAGGTGATGAGGACTCTGTGTCAAAAGATAATGGATAACCCCTTGGGAATCCGTCTGAACAAATATCGTGTTCATCACTACTTGGCGGATAAGCGATCAGGCTGTCCAATCGTCGGATTGCTTTCCGGATGATAACTATACGCTGGGTTCAGTACAGCTCGCTTCCACGTCGCCTTCTCTAACCAGGACGTAAGCCAGCGTTGCAATTCGCAAGCACAAAACTCCGAGCCATATCTTTCAGTCCTTTCTTGGTCAAACACATAGGTGTCCAACTATTACACAGCCTCGACGCGCGAATTCAACCTTTTCAACCAGCTTGTGCGAGCCCAGACGCGGGCTATAAGCGCTCCTTACCCGCATCGGCTATGGCGACCTTGGGCCCGACCGTCGGCGCCGGCAGCCGCTCGACGTCGACGTTTTGGAGGACCACCAGCTCCCCGCTGTGGCTGTAACCGTAATTCTGCGCGCGCAGACCCTTTTGCACCTCCGCCAGCCGCGCCACGTCGGCCGCGTCGCGATCCGCGCGCTCCTTGCGCAGCTGCGAGGGGTTTTGAAAGGGTTTTAGTCTAACGGGAGACTCACGTTTTCGTGTGGAAAAGAAAGCTTGTGGCAAACAAACGGAACGGAAGCGAGATGGGTCTACGCTCCCTGCGTAATCGGAAGGGCTTTGAAGTGGGGTTCTGCTTGAGGGGATTCTCCGAGTGCAAGGTTCTTGAAAGGATCAGGGGGTTGAGCGAGAGTCATCTCAGCGCTGCAGAAGCAAGCAACCATAAGCTCCCAAAAGAAAAATGATAGGACTGGCGGATGAGAAAGAATAGCGCCCTCATGAGATGGAGGAAGTTAGAATTCAATCTGAGCTCCCACTTTATACATGCCTGCTTGTCTCCACAGCACATTTCGTCACGGGAGAGCTAAGCAGAGGACTCTTTCAAACGGCACGCGGAATGCGTACTAAGCCCTCGCTCTTCTCCCGACTCCGTCAGGCTATACACACTTCTCCAACAGTGGGAGGAAACTGTCAACAGCTTGTGACAAACGAACTTCGAGGCCTCACTTTCTCCTTCGCCTGCCGGATCGCAATCTCCTCCCTCAACCGCTGCTCCTCTTCGGCGTCGTGGCTCGCGAGCTCCTTTTTGCGCGCGTGGATTTCTTGCATCAGCTTGGGGAGGGGAGGGGGGGCGACCGGAAGAGTCGGGAGCGGCGCGCGGCTGGACAGGTCGACCAGGCGCTTCATGGCCGACGTGTTGATTCTGCACGGAAAGAAAGCCGGCTATTAGTAGAAGCGGGTTAGCCGGTTGGCTAGTAGTTACAGCAGTAAACCGAGAATTTCCTCTTCATTCCTGCACCGCAAGTAAGTCGATTACTTTTAAAAGCGGGTCGAGGAATGGATACAGATTGTAGCGGAGCATGGAATCAGGCAATGCACCATCGAAGCCGTGTTTCTCCGGCTCTTCAAGTATTCCTTTACACTAGAGGAACAGCGATCCGATAGACGTAAGGGTGACCACCCAAACTTCGTGCAATCGACAGTCAATAGGAACGACGCGAGCTTCGTACAATCATCACCGAACGACCCTTGAGTACTCTGCTTTTGGCTTGCTCCTGGGAACCACTTCACTTACTTGCTAGTACTCATGACTGACTCTGCCCGGCCCTCCCCTTTCACGCTCCCATTTATGCTAACTCGTCGAGAAGGCGAGCGACTGGACCGGAGTGCGCCGAACCCTTTCCCGTTGGTTCGGCCGAGTCCACTCGGGGAGGTGACAGTAGGGCTTCGGATCTCTGACACTGCTGGCGGGGGCCGCCTCTTGATTGGAATTGCACCCCGAGCCCAAGTGTCAATCACCGGGACCTGGGAGGTGTGCGAGAGAAGCTTTGGGAGTTGTCTCAAAGGAAGTCGTCGTAAGTTGAGAGTGGACCTGGCGTGCTTGATTTGGAGCAAGTACGTTGGGTTGTATGGTCTCAGGATGGAGTTACTGAGTTTTATAACTGCAGCTTAAGAAGTTTGTTGGAAACGCAAGTAGGCCAGCCGATGCCTACTGCCTCGAAAAAGTATAGCATAAACCAGTAAGGTCTGTTTTGCAAAATTGCGTGTTTGTAATGGGAGACATCCAGCAGGCGGCGCCGTAATTGAACCCTGTCTGACATTTCTTCCGCCTCTTCTGCCGTGGTCAAGTCTCAGGAGGGGAACATCACGGTGCCGTTTGCCAAGATGCCACTCAATGGACACCGCCACCTTTGCGCTAATGCTTACTGGATCCACTAAGGGCTATGCCATAACGCCTTTGCTCCCATAATCAGCAAGGACAGCATACCACCGGGCTGTATGCCATCAAGTCTTAATTGGTCTTGCATATCACTCTACTCTTCATGAGCATATTCGTACCCGAGTTTTGAAGCCTCAAGGAGCGTTCTCAGACTCCAGTGGCGCATGCTCGTCATTGAAACCACTTTCTTGCTCTTTGGCTGCTTGCAATCTACCGTGGTAGAAGAGAGGCTCACCTCTGGTTCTTCATCTTCAGCCCAGTTCCCGATGCTTGCCTCGCGCCACTTGGGAGGTCTTGGCACATTGATGAGCTCTAGAGCTTTCATGGCCTCGTCCAAGACCCTATCAACCGCGTACGGTATCAACATTCGCTGGATCTCCTTTTCCTCCTCGATCGCATCCACTTTATCCAAAACATCCTGAAACATTGCGGACAGTGGTTGTGAGTCACCTTGATTTGTGTCCGCATGCAAGCGCACCTGATAAATGGTGCTTTAACCACGGAAACATTTCATTATTTTTTTTGGCAGGCGGTCTGCTGCCTTGGAGCACCACCTCAGGGTAGACGATGCATAACCATTGTAACTGATTCACAATTCGTTCACTTTGTTTTAAAAGGGAGACAACATGGAAAAAGTATGCAGCACTCTCTGAGTGGCTGCAGATTCGGCCTTGCGCCTATATACCCATAACTGTCATTCTTAAAGTGGTTATGTGTCTCTTGTCCTGCAACTCATTTGATGAGAGTTAGGACCCACATAGATTATTAATGAAAGCAACACAAATGGACCTACACTTCCGACTTCAAAGATTCAATCATAGCTAAAATCCATTGAGTGTGAGCTCAGGAAGCATTTTAGATTTAAGAGGCTGTATGGTGGCCTCTTTTTCCCAATGACTTGGTAATGTCCCTTGACCATCAAGAAGGTGGTAATATTCTTAGGTATTTTCAAAAGAGTGAAATAACAATGTCAAAGAAATTCTTTTTCTGTGCAAAGCTGCGTGACTAACAAGTTGATAGACACATTCAGCGGTAACCTACCGTGAGGAACTCTTGCACTGCGCCATCCCGCTCCGCTCGTTCGAGTGCGGCCTTCTCCTCCAGCGCAGCTAGAGTTCTGGGGCTCGGCGGTGGCGGCTCTTTCTTGCTGCCTTTCTTGGACGCCTCAGCCAGAGGAACAGGCTTGCCCTTCTTGCTGGCCATCTTGCCACAAAATGGAGAACAGCCTTGTCTTACAGGCCAGGAGAACGGAAAACTGTGTGAAACCTTTTGGCAGCTGCCTGATCAGCTTTCCTCCTCCCTAATGTGCGCCGTGGCCACAGCAAGAGTTCACACAGACATAAACCTTTCTTTTTGTTATTGACTTCAACCTGCCTGCCACCATCTATCTAGCTGCATCTAGCAACACTGGAGCTCGTGGACAAGTCAGCAACGAAGGAAGGAAGTCAGTGATGCAAGCTGGCGCCAATCTCCTTTAAGTGTTTAGGTTTTAGGACGACTTTGAAAAAGAGAGCTAGGCGGTCAGCACCGTCACACGTTCATCTAGCTCCACTATGTCCTCTGTTCGTTTGATAAGACAATGCACTCAAGCACAGCTGAGCGTACAACAGGTACAACAGGCTGACATGAGCTGTACGAAGTGCAAACTGTACGAAGTTGACCTAGGTATATACTACCGTAATCGCGCACAGCTGCAGTACGGAGCTGTCGAAAATGCATGCACGATCGCTGGCAAGATAAGTACCTAAACCCTGGGCCTGGGCCCCCGGCCCACACCGTCGCGCGCCGCGACCGTCAGCCCCAGTTGGCGCGACCTTACATTTCCCCCCAACTCCCCCGGGGGATTGCCTGTTGTATAAGCTATCCGCCATACACACACGCGGACTCGGCCATAGGGGGCCTAGCACTCACCATTACCGCTCTTCTGCGAACCGTTACCTTCTATGTTACTACCTCGGCCCAGCCTGAGAACCCTACCTACCCAAATCTTCACCCACCGGAGTCGCCCTTGAAGGTACTTGAAGGGAAAGAAGCGTGGAGAAACCGGATTTCGGACCAGGTGCCAGGCAACCCTGTCGTTGGCCCACTTTCGTGGAAGTTTGGGGACCAGAGCAGGAACGGTCATTCTTGCTTGGCAAGGAGTCAAGGAGACTCGTTCGCATTACGGTATCCAAAGGCTTTCTTCTTGGGAAGGGTCAATTCAACTCGTGAGGAAGCAACTCAGGGAGCCAGCAAGATTCACCGAGCAATGGTGACCATCCGGCAGGCGCTAGAGAGTGTCCCTCGTATTACATCAGCAGAAGTAGAGCTGCTCCTCAGGCACATTAGAGCGGCTGGCTTTAATGATGACGAGCCTGCTGACGGCGTCTTTTTGGACCTCAACCCTGCGAAAATCCATGTTTATGGTAAACTTGATCCTCTGGATGGCAAGCACCAGCTAATTCTCCAGAGGGCTCAGTCTACATCTGCAGGTGAGTCGCTGACTGGTTTTCAAAGTTGGTGTAAGTTCTGCTCATCTGAATAAGCTTTGTGAAGAGTCCCTCGACATGCCAGACCATTGTTGTAGGAATTGTGCATGCCTGCAACCATTACAAGTTGTTCCGACCAGTGTAGGACAAAGAGGAGCGGCTCCAGTCAGCAAATAGTCATGGCACTTGGTTTGCTATCTGAGAGTAGCATATGATCGCTTGAAACCATAGAGCAGCATTCAATGGATCATCAAAACAAATGTCAGACCTGTGCAATAGCTTTCGTGCATGCATGCGGCTGGGCAGAGTGCTGGGGCTTTCTGGTTTTGGGTAGACGCTGTGGTTCGTACCACCGCAGTCAGTCGTCTTTGGAACAACATTCATTTGACGGTCAGCCTATGCAAACATTCGTGCATGTCTGCTGTCGGGCAGAGTGCCGGAGCTCTCTGGTTTATGGTAAACGCAGTGATCCACACCAACCCCCCAGTGTGTCGGTGCCTGTTTGGAGACTGTCCCTCTGCTTCCCGGGTTGGTTCACCTGTCAGGCCAGAATGAGTTCGCATGATCTCTGAGCTCGGTGTTTGGTATAAAAGTTGCCTGGTCGCAGCATCCAAGGCAGCCTCTGCTTAATCTACGGCAATGCTCAACGAGTCACTTTACAATCTCTGTTTGTCGCAATTCAATCTGTGGCATTAATTAAGCAGGCTGTAGGTCTTGTCAGGGTGGTCTTGTTCAACGTCATCAAACAAAGTCCCTTTGCAAGCTTGATGCTTGCCAGCATATTCAAGGATTTTGCAGCCGCCAGGGTGGATGCTCACTTGCCTTGATCCAAGAGAGTAGTTCACTGTGCTGGTTGCAATGAAAGGGCAGGAAGAGATCTTTGACATAGCCGTTGAGTCTTTGGGAGATTGGCGTATGTCAGAGCACATCACTGCTGTTGGTTGCTGAAGCTCACACCCTGGATATGCAAGGAAATTCAGCTGCGTGAGACTCTCGTCAGTCGTCCTCAAGCATACCCATAGGGACCCACTGGTGTGCTCTGAGAGTTTTTGGCCTCAGTTGCTGCCTGCCAATGGTCTGGCTTGCCCGCAGACTCTGCCAAATTTTGCGGGGAAGGCTGGCTGCCAGCTTCATGTGAACACGCATCCGCTAACGCCCTTCTCTCTGTGTCCCAGCTGCTGCACGAGGGGGAGGGGCCGAGGGCGCGGGCGCTTCAGGGGCCGTGGAAATGCCGGATGTTGACTATGGGAGAGGTGAATGTCCTTGTCCTGGGGCGTCAGTCTTGGACATGCAGGGCTGGTGTGTGTGGTTGCTGAAGCGTCTGCTTGGCTCTTTCAGGTCTGAACCGTTCTGGAACAATGTTCGTAAAATTCAACGAGATAAGCTTTTGGGACCTGTCGCTGCTCACATTTCTTGGGCCAGCTTTGCTGGATATCGGGGCCTTTTCAAGAGCCAGGGGCTTTTAAAGCATCATCAGTCGTCTCTTAGGGTTGTCGTTGCAGACATCCATCTGAACCTGTAATGAGAGCAGGGACCTTAATTCTGTGGAGCAACTCTGAACCCGCTGCCAGAACACTCACTTTTGAGCTTTTAGGATCGCCACGCTCCATGACCGGGTTCCGGTTCCAGCGGGTTTCCAGGATCCTGAAGCAGAGAGATACCTGGCGAAAGCAGCACAGAGGGCACATGGAGCTCCGGAACCCTACCTGATTTGC